GTCTTTTATTGTTTATTACTTGTTTCGTTTTAGGACCGACAAAAAGTGTGCAAACAGTCGAAAAGCGTCTATCGTTGGGATGTGTTTCTTGCTATCCGAATAACGATATAAAAGCGTGTAACTCATCCTCTTGAGAGGCTCATTCATATTGGGAACACTGTCTTCAATCCAGAAGTCCAGTTAGGAATGAAGCTATTCCACACCAGAGTCCATCAAGTTACCTCTGACCACCTTACGATCGAAATACGGCGAGAAAAGGGCTGTCATCGGTATTACTGTTATTTTGTATACCTGTTTCCATGGTTTTACTACAATAAGTACTACTCGTCGAAAATAATATCCAACAAGAGAAGAAATGAACTCGAATTGACACCGGACTTGCACTTTATTGTAATCCTTGTTATTCAATTAGTAATCTGATTGTAGTCTAAAAATACAACCTAATCTGTAATGCTTTAGTTAATTGATGTTTAACATTTCATGCTTACACTACGGTCGGTTATTCATGAATCCTTGATTGTTTATGCTTTCTGCAATCATGCAACAAAGAAATCAATACGTATCTGTAACATACTGCACACGTTTTCCGTATCTTTTGAGATGATTTTGTACCTGGTCTTCTTCAATTTTAGTCTTTTCTCCAGAGATTTTCTTGAAAATTAATCCCGAATGAGGTGATTACTAAGATAAAGTTGATTAAATTGTCGGATTATCAATACATTAGTAATATTAATCAAACAGGCTATTTTTCTTGTAACTCTTAGGGTCCGAACTTGGTTTTTACAAACTGCTGGCATTTTCGCAAAACTAAAAAACTTCAGCAATTGGAAACATGATTGCCTTGGAGAAGAGACTTTGCTCTATCTACTCATGGTTAATTATGGGCCACTAAAGGTGTCACTTATTTTCTAAAGCTTTTAAGAATTGAAATTTCCGAAAAAAAAACTCCTGAATTTTTAGGAATCCAGAAGAGATACTGGCATCCATAAATACCAGTAACGTATTTAGTAGCATCATTTTCCAATCACACAATTGTTTTTTTTTTTCGAAACATGAGTCCTGACGGAAAGGAGAGTACACAAAATTCATTTGATAGATTCCAGAAAATCAAATTCTACCATGATCGAACAAAAGTGTTTTATCCCATAAAGAAAGACCAACCGATTCCAATACTTTGTAACGGAATTGATGATGTTCACTTTGAACTGATATATCTTGATCTAAAATTGAAAGCGCCACTTATTCCGTCACCGTGTGAGTCGAAATCGACTCACACCGGCCCTCAAGTGATAAAGAAAGTCATCAAAAATCATTGAGTTCTGTTCGCCTTTCAACTATTAGATAGATTGCGATCAATCCGCTTAAAAAACTTCGTGACAGTAGTTGTCAGATGGAAAGCTCCTTGAGAATCTGAACGACTGCAGTCGCTACGAAAGACGAAATACTGTAGCCGGATAAAACAGTCGGCGTTTATGGAACTTGTTGTTAAGCCTAAAACCAAGCGTTATGCTTAAAGTCTAATGAATAAATAGTTTTCTTGTCCTACTAGACAGGTGTTAACTAGTTGGACTATATCGCAGTACATTCAATATCCGAAAGGGTCCAACACAGCTATGTTTGACGTTAATTAGCATGTTTCATGGGTGATTACACTAATCATGTGCTAGTTATCGCTGCACTTAGGGGTGTCTGCAGTGCGAGAAATCGCCTACAATCCGTCTAATTCACACCTCAGTCATTTCCTTTTTGTCCTCATTGTTGTTTATGTATGTCGGTGGCCGATAGTACTTCCTACTTCCGTCACACTTCATCCTTCTTCTTTTTTCCTTTCCTCATCTTTCCTTCCTTCTCATGTTGTCATACTGTAATCAACGACGAGATTCAGTTCTAATCATTCGTTATCGTCATTTAAGAAAACAGTCAATACTTGTTGATACGCTATCAGCGAAGGAATCTACTTTTTCGGATCCAGAGTAATAGTGATTTTCTTAGTTTTAAGGTAGTTAGGGAAACTTTGGTAGTAAGGAACTTAGCAGTTTACCGTTCTGTTTAGTATAAAGAAGGTGTTTTTATTTCTTTAAATGGTTCAGCTTACACCATTTTCTTACATAAGCTCTATTCGGCTGACGTTCTGTTATCTTCGTCTTCCTCAGAGCCGATTATCCGAGTTGAGATGATGTCCATAGTCGTTCGCCCTCTCGATGTTTATTTTATTGATTTTTTTCCTTTTATTCACAATTTTTACTTCACTGTCATTAGTATATTCCCATGCTTATATCATTGTTTCTACTCTCATTACATTCTCCACAAACCCATTTACCTCGAATACAACTCTGAAGAGACTTTACCCTGTACAAGTTTACCTACGACTATAACTATACAACTATGCAACTTCGAAGAAAAAGACAATCAATACTTTTTAGTGCGCTATCAGCGAAGGGATCTACTTGTTCAGGTCTAGGATAATAGTGATTTTCTTTGTTCTAACGAGGTTAAGAGAACAATGGAAAACTCTACTAGTAGTGAACTTAGCGGTCTAACGTTTCTTTTAGTAAAAAGGGAACGATCTTTATCCCTTTGAAAGGTCGGCTTACACGAGGTTCTTAGATAAGTTCTATTCGGCTGACGTTCTGATATTTTCGCCTTCTTCAGAGCCGATTATCAGAGTCGAGATGATGTCCACAGTCATTCGTCTTCCAGATGTTTATTTTATCGATTTTCTCTTTTTGTTCACAATTTCTACTTTACTGACATTAATGTATTACCATGTTTATATTTAATTGTTTCTACTCTCATTACATTCTCCACAAAGTCATCTATCTCGAATACAACTCTGAAGAGACCTTTAAACTTTACTTGCAGATATAACTATACCGATATAACTCCACAACTTTACAGCTCTGAAGATGGGAACAATCAATATAAGTTTATGCTATCAGCGAAGTGATCTACTTGTTCAGATCCAGGATAATAGTGACTTTCCTAGCTACTTAATGTAGTTAAAAGAACAATGACAAGTTTCAGTGCTAAGGAACTTAGCAGTTTGGCGTTTCGTCTAGGGAGAAAGGAACAGTTTTTGTTTCGCAAACATGCTAATGTGTTTCTATGCTCTTGCATTTTATTGTTTCTGCTTTCATGACATTCTCCACAATGTCCTCCATCTCGAATACAACCTTGAAGAGACCTTAAGAATAGGTCATTTTGCCAGAAGGAAAGACAAAGTGGAAGACCCGTGAGGTCAGCCGCCCCTCTGTTACATAAACTCTTCAGTCATTAGGTCATTAACATTACGTCAACTTGCTAAGACCTAATCACTAGACAAAGAAACACTTTGTTTTCTATCTATAAAATCATTAGATCCATATTCCTATGCTGAAAGTGATAACTTAACAGCGAGAGTTGTGGTTTTACGTTGTAAGTTCTGTGTTAGTGACTTGTACTTGTTAAATCCTTAATAGTTACTCTTCAACAGTAGCCTAGTGGACGAAATTCGTCTTAAGAAAGTGTTCGAAAAGTTCAATCTACATTCTGTTCCAAACTCTGCCAACCCTTGCTCATTTCTCAGCATCCTTGTCGTTGTATCTTGCAAAATTCTTCATATTATATTATTATTATTATTATTATTATTATTATTATTATTATGATCATATGCTTTATATTTTACTATGCATTATTTTACTTCCATGAAAAAAGACTAGGAAGTAAAAGTGAAAACCATGTATCAACAAGTTTACATGCCGTAGAAAGGATGCCGATTAAATTCATGAATTTTTTTCTACGTTATATAGTTCTGGTGATGTCTTATGATGTTATTACTAACCTCTATTAACATAACGATTGCAATATCAGTGGCGCGTGAGTCACATATGATTCACGCGTGCCATTATAGCATGTCAGTAGCAATCATGTTGATAAGCTTTTTAGCTGACAAGCCTTAGCAGGATCAACATTCTATCCTTTGCACAGAACTCTTTTCTCCTGGGAAACACCAACATCACTACTTTCAGTGTATTCTGCTTAGATTATCAACGTTTATATAGATTTACTGCAGTGAGAAAGAAATGAAGATGGTCCGTTATAAGCAGGTCCATGTTTTTGTAATTGTAGAATTTTATCTATTTCTTAGCACGTTCCCGCCTTCATCACCATTTTGCCGTAGGCGCAACGAGGCGGGATTACCGGTGGTGTATGGATGCATGGAACTCAATGCCAATATGTTAATTAGTTACTTCCGAGTCTCGTAAGGAATATATTACCATCATCACTCATGTTTTCATTACCAGTGTGTTCTTACACTTTTGTTCTTATGCTTGTTACCGTTCGATTATTGATTGTAACTGCTTTAAAGTATGAATGGAACGACGATATGACTTATACAGTTGTTTTTTTAATTCTTTTCGTAAAAGTAGTAGGAATTATAGATGTCACATTATGGGTCGGGAATCAGTGCCGTTCTTACTACGGAGAACTTATGGCGTAAATTTCATCAACATACTACAGAGATGATCGTCACGAAAAGTGGCCGGCAAGTTCATTTACCGTGTAATATATTCTAGTTAAAGCCACAAGGTAAAGTATGAAGCTCTCGGCGTTGATCAATCCCTGAGAAATACGCAATGCATTCGACTTCATTAAGGATCGATGGAGATGATTTAATGTATATCTGGCCTTTACAATGACTAGCGGTAGCCTACCGATGTATCTATCCAGTGCTGCTATCGTCCCAGATAGGTATGGTACCAATTTGCCGACGCCAAAGGGACGGAGAACTTAGGAGAAACGGAGGCGCGAGGATCGATCCTACGTGTATTGAAGGGCACCTCTGACCTCTGCGCTACACACGCATCTTTTATATTTCAGCTAATGCCTTTAGTATAACGTTTTCTGGGATCTTCTGTTTATATTTCATCAGGTGAATCTCAGCTATAATGCTAAGAAGTTGTTCCGATAGCAGCGTTTTTATGATGGCGCCTTAATTTACATCCACTTTAAGCTTAGCGATGATTAATGACAATCACCAGCCAGCAATTACTGTTCAACCTGACCTTAGGCAAAGGTATAAGAGGGATTTAAAAATTCTTTTAATTTATTGATTAATTAAGACTTGTAGTCATGAGTTTAAAATCTTGTTTTTCTAGTGAAAATCTTTAGTCTAATTTTTCATTTATCTTCAGAAAAATATTTCCGAAGATTGAATATAAAATTCAAGGCTTAAATCCAGACGAGACTTATGCGATTATGTTACGTATCGAAAGAGTAGACGACATGAGGTTAGTTGAACTAACCATTTACTACATAGTATTTTGTTGAATTGTACCTTTTCATTTGAGCCGTGGTCCTTTGAGGATTATTTCATCGTTTGTGTTGTTCTTATGGGCCCGCCATTGTTATTCGTGTACTAAGTTTAATGAATGGTGTTAAAATTCTAGGTACAAGTTTAGTGCAGGCGACTGGTCGACAAATGGTAAAGGAGAATCGCAAACTACACCTCGTAGTATTCCACATCATGACGGTGCTGTCGACAGCGGTAGGGCCTGGATGAGCAAGACAGTGGCCTTTGACAGGGTCAAAGTTACTAATAATCAGCAGGATAACGATCCTTTCCATGTAAGTGTTTTTTTTGGATAGGATCTTCTGTGATTCTTCCTGAAATTTTGCCAGGCATGCTTAGATGGTGAGCAAGCTTACGTGGAAAGTTCTCTCGGTGTTGTACTCGGGTAGACCTAACAGCAAATTCACTTGTTTCTTGAATTGCTACCTATTTACTGCATATGTTTGTTGTTGATTTTCGACTTCCTATATTGCTTTGACGGACAGCGATACCTAATTGATCAATGAATATATTTTGACAAGTCACCACATATCCGTCATTTATAATACCCCTGAACTTCACAATGAGGCGATACGTGGTTTCCCATGATTTACTTTTCTATCGTCCATGGTCAGTATGGTTTTGCCAATGGGCAAAAAGCCGATTACTAGTCGACGATGCTGATGGATATATTCGCAGCGTCTTACTTACTCATTGTGTTTCCTCTGGTAACGACGAACAAGGTCATCGCATAGCATACGAATGCTGTCACATTGTGTTCAAAAGATGTACTTGTTATCAAGACACTGAATGTGATAGAGTAAGGTCTGAGAAACTCTGTGAAGAGAAGAACGCCTGGAAATGGTCCGTGCAAAGTACTCTGTGGAGATCCGGAACTCAAAGACAAGAACAGGACGCATTTGTTCAGTATGAAGCAGAAGATCAATGAATGATTGGCTTTAAGTGTCGTTACTTCGCTTATGGGAACCACAATAGTTTTTCAGTACTGCTTATGTTAGTGTAGGATTATGCGGACTTAATTATTCCATTAGTAAGATAAGATCTAAATCCGGCAAGTCAACGAGGGAATCACGAAAGATGCACTATAATATTTTACGAGCGGGTAATCAAACCTCTGTCTATTATGTTTACTACGTTATTGCAGAAATAGAAGAGCTTGTCCAAAATCTACACTATTATCGGTGAAGTTTTCAAATAAGTAGACATCGATAACTCTCTCAGTTTAATAGGCCAAGTTATCTGCGTCACAAAATCCTCAAAATGTTCATTAGTTACGCCAAAATTTGAGACCTGAACATAAGACATCTTTTAAGTTACTCGGAACATCTTACTTCTAACTAGTCCCCGTTGTTTTTTGATCTAGCTTTAAGCTTTCGCAATTCGTGCAGTCTTTGTGCTTCGATCATGTGAAAAGGATCTAGGAGTCTTAAATTGTTACAATTAAGCAATATTTGATCGCATAAGTCGAATATAATTCAGCCTCCAGTATCGAGATTAGGTAGCGGAGATATAAGCCCGCTACGTTCACTTCTAAGAAATGATTTATCCTAGTTTGTAGTTCATGGAAGCTAAATAACATGATACAAATCTTTGTTTAGGTAGTCCTACAATCAATGCACAAATACCTTCCTGTCCTCTACATATACCACATGCCAAACACAGTGATGTGGATGGATCAGACAACTCCAGCACTGGATACGTCATGTCTTGTTGCGGTTATAAGGTGACTGAAATAGTTAGTTACTCAGTTTTATACTAACTAAAATGAAGCCATTGCGAACGGCCTGAGAAGACCACCTCTCAAACTCAGTAGAAAAGTTGGTAACCATCGAAATACGGTTGCATTTGAAATTGTATTGCTACTAGCACGATATATGAAGACGGACCATCAAATAATTGTTGTGTTAAGTGAGGAATATCAGGTGTTTAGATTAATTACTGACGCATCCATTCAGTTCCGGAGGCTGGTATTAGCGAACTGATCTCACGACGTAATGAAATTATCCTTTATTACCCAAAATTCTTTGAATTTCCAGTTATTAATAAATCGGAGGAATATTACGAAATTAAATTTTCTTAGTGCACGGTGTTAATGTCGGCTTTGCTACTCCTTTTCCCTTATATTGGACGTTGGAGTCCAGTGTATATTAGGATTGCAAGGTTTATAGACCTTCTGGAACAAATCTGAATAAATACTAATTATCGCTTCATTAAGGTATGATTACACGGCGTTCATCGCGGTGACAGCCTATCAGAATAATGATGTGACACAGCTGAAGATCTCACATAATCCGTTTGCGAAAGGTTTCCGCGAAGGCTCAGAAAGGGATCGGAAACGCACATCGGCTAGCCCTGCGTACAGTGAACCGTCGCCGAAGCGCATCTCACCGATGACGTCGGACGTAAAAACGAAATGTGAACGTCAAGTCGGGAATCCATTCATGCTTCCATGGACAGCAACAGGAGATCCGAATTTAACGAGAAGTGGCGAACAAATTCCTATGCAGTGGTATAATTATTACCAGAACCCTTTCTATTCATCGTTACCCTACTATTGCTCCTACATGCCAAACTGTTACTCAACGCCAACTCCAGAGTGTTAAGTTCTTAACAGTCTCTCAGTGAGCGTTTTATGAAGTTAGCTGTGAATGCATATCACAAATCAATGTAATCAACAGGGATATATAATATTTCTGGATTTCTGGATATGTGTTTTATATGTTACAGTATTCTTATTTATTATTGCATTCCAGTACTGTACAACATTTTATAGATCAGAGAAATGTTTCCATAGCGAACGGTTAACCAAGGTGATTCGAAAGAAGAATATGGGTGTTTTGTTCACTATAAGGTTATCTTCGCTGATGGAAGCTAAAAAAGTTCAGTGATATTTTGGCTGACGCTGGTTCCCAGTAATAAAAATAACTGTTAACTATGATAATAATCCACAACACTGCAATCGATCTTGACAAGTTCAATCACCCAGAGATTGATTGTATAAATTCAGAAAAACCTTGTTATTACTGTAATTGTATGTGTTACGAGTGTTTTGTTAAGTACGCTGTGTGTCCCATAATTCAGAATTCCTTCGAAAATTTAACCTCAAAGGTGCCTCAATCGGTGCTGTCAACGTCAGTGTGCTTCATTTTCTGTGTATGTAAATATGCATATCGATTGAGAATAAAGCTCAATAATAAGTCTTGGTCAGTTATCCTCTAGGCTGAAAATTATATTGGAAAAGAGAAGTCTTGTGGATAAGAGATCGTGCTTCAAGGGAATGTTTGAGAAGATTACATGGAGGGTAAATAATATCGCTTTCGGCTTCCATCGCTCAATGAGGGGTGCCATTCATTCGACTTCATCGTGCAGGAATATTGAATACACATGGCCTATACGATGGCTTAAGGTGCCCTACGAATCTGTCAACTGTTGTTATCATCCTAGAAAAGTCTGGTACTAATTTGCTGATCCAGGTGTGATGGAAGTCTTAGTGAGCCGGGACGCGGAATCGAAGCAACGACCACGTAGGTATGGCGGGGTACCTCAGGTTATAGCGCTGCATTCGCCTGAAAAGATGGTAATTTAGTAAGGAGATGTGGAACCTAAGTGCTATAGGGTTCTCCTATGGTTTTTTTAGTTTTGTGTACTTAGAGGGATGTGATTACAAACACTTCGTGGGAGCCACAAGGTAATGCAGATGTCAAACGTCGAAGACCACTAATAGTATGTCTAATGGTTAGGATTCTATTTCTTCGCTATCCTTCCGTAGGATATTAAAGTTTAGGTATTTTGGATCAGGAACAAAGGTAGATGTGGGAATCCGTTGCAGAAAAATGTGCAAAGGCGAGAAAAACAGGCTCGCGTCCAACACAATTCGTCTTTATAAACTCTGTGGATCTTCCAAAAAATTTGAGAGGTTTTGACACACTAAGAAAATGAAGGAAAAAGCTTTCGGCATTGATCAATCCCTGGGAATGCACTATGCATTTGACTTCATCAAGCAGCGTAAGAGGTGGCAGATTTCAATAACTGGTCTATGGAATGACATACTAGTAGAATAGATTTGAATGCCCTTCCAACGGTTTAGCGCTTCACCGTGGCTGGGAGGTGTTCCTGGGTGTCGGCCTGCGATGTACAACGGGAGGTTCGTCCCTGGCAGGATCTCCCAAGCTGAGAAGGAGTCCGACGTTTCCATCAGGAAGCCTAGCTAAGAGTAAACCAGTATCAGGATCCACCACCATCATGGAATTGAACTAGTCTCATGGTGGCAAATCTTCCGTCTGATCCACATAGGCGGCGACTACCTCGAGCGGTGACGACCCGGAGCAGACTTTGGCCAAGCTGACCTCTGGACTTCACGGAACCACAATGGCTAAACCAGCAAAATTCTGAAAAATGGAGATTTTTCAGGTGTCCACACAATCAATGAGGACGAGTCGTGCAAGTATCCAAGTAAGCAAGATTTTATTGTACATGCTCCGAAGCATAACTTGTACTACATAATGAGAAATCTCTATAGTTCTTCGTCGGGTATGATGAGTGGTGTTGCAGAGATTTAGGAGTGGGAAAGGTCTAATCCAACAAATCACTAATAGTTCCTTGTCATAATGGAACTTCTTGAGAACTCAGTTTCCTATATAACCTGTGCATGGAACTCTGCACAGTAACTCTTTAGTGTGCTGGATCCGATACAATTCTTTCGTAATGTAGGAAGTCCTACATAAGCTGCAACTGTCAATTATTGGTTGGGGTGCATTACAGTAGTATTAAGACCAAGGCTACATTTTAACCTTGGATAACTTCGCTGGTGCTGGAGAAGAAGGATAAGAAAGAATGAAGCTCTCGGCGTTGATCAACCGTTGTGGAGGGTGTCATGCATTCAATTTCATAGAGATGACTGAATGCACATCAGCCCTCTACAGTGACTTTCTGTAGCTTACCGATTTCAAGGCAAGACTTCTGTCTTTCCAGATAGGCTTGGTACCCATTTAGTGATCCCGGTAGGTGGAAATCTTTGTGAGCCTAGGACTCAAGGTCGAACTAGTATTGCAGGGTACCTCTATCCACTTCGCTACATGTGCTCGCTGATGTTAGAGATCGTGTTTGAAAATCTTAACGTAGAAATGAGTTACGCCAGCAAAAAATGTTGCTAAAGTTTACAATTTTTCTATTTATGAACCATTTGTAAGAGATTTATTGCGGTTCAGAGTTAATTTCGCAGCAACCTCGCTCATTTTAGTGATCTCAAACCTATGACGTTGAAGCTAATACCATGCTATTTTGGTCGTTTAGATTCATATGGATGCAAGAGATCAGCTTACTATTTCGGCTGTGCAGGATTTATCTATACGCTCTATATAAACACACCTGCCACTATATTAATCTATACGTTCCTATCATGTGCTTCTGTGTCTGTAAATCTTATAATGCAAGTCGACCTATCGAGAAAACAGATCGATGGAGTAGGATATCCATGAGAGACGGTTCGAGGTCACCTCCGACAGATAAGCGCTATGTCTGCTTTGGCAGAAGTAGGACAAGATTAGCTCAATGTAAGAGTACTCAGCCTTCACGACAAAACCCAGTATATGCTACTAGCAGTTATATTCTCATCAAAAACTGGTGAAACTAAGGTAGCCAATACGAAGAATGTCATGCCATTCATCTCGAGCGAGAGGAACTAGGAGAGATCAGGATTTGAACAGGAACCCCTGGCTGGTAGTGCCCACTTCATATCACTCGATTAACGAGGTCGCACGTCATCAATCGTTCCAGCAATGTTTTCACTAGAAGTAATCTACGCTTAAGAATAGGAGCAAGTCCTCTTCTATGGTTTCTGGCTAGTCAGCTTATCACTGCATCACAGTGAGAGTGGAAGAAAGGACAAATAAAACTGAGACTAAGACTAAAGTTCATTTAGCATAATTAGCAGACAAATGGGGATATTTAAAAAATCACTAGATGAGGAGTGCCGAGAAGAGAAAGAGGAATGATCTGAAGATATCGTTGGCTAGGCAATCTAATTACTAGATAATTCTTGAGAAGTAGTATTGAATGGACTAGAAAAAGAATTGATTGGTCGACTTATCAGGCCAGTACTTCATCCTGAGAACATCTGCACAAACACAATTAATCACTGACTTTTCCGTGACACCTATGAAAGTCGGTTTTTTCTTCTTCGGCGTCTTTTCTCTGAGGTTGTTATTCCCTTATGTCGTAATGTTTGTCATCATTCTTAGTCTGGTTGACGAGCATGTCATAACTTTTGGTCTTATGTTCTCCGATGTCCAGTGTCTCTCCTGTTCTTGTCCTATGCGACATGTAAGAGAAAATGTTGTCTCCGACGTTGCCGTGGTGATCCATGCGATGAAGAAAATACCGAAAGTGGGTTGTGGGAGGATATTCTGGTGTTTAAATGTAAACAATTGAGTCCTTAAGACGATCGGTGTATTGCTGTGGTTTAGAACCGATCGAGTTATACACAGTGTAAGCTTCTAACTTCTAATTATAACGTTTCAACGTTTTGTTTTCTGCCTTCTATAATTTTCATGGCAGGTTACTAAGCGAAATACAACCACAATGTTGCTGAGATATTTGCAAAACTCTGGACCGCAGGTGTCTATGGTGGGGAACGAACGCGCTATTATCCTTTCCGGGGAGTAACGCGTTCACCACCACACCATGCGGGTCCTTTGTTTCGCACGTCTCTCAGCTATTTCTATTGATAATTATAACTTATTAGTTACTGTGTAACTCATGCGAACCGATGTCGTATACGGCAATCAATTGGCCTACAAGCTATGCTGTAGTATGGTCTGACCATCGTCCTCACTCCCGCTCGCAGTACGTACTGATGTACTGCATTACGGTCTGACCCTATCTTTCTCTGGGTTTTCGTAGTGTTTGTGCTTGTCAGACCAATTTCGGTTCAGGTTGAAGTTCTCTGAGGACCCACACTATTTAGTTAACGTATCCTTTTAACAGCCATGCGTGTTACTTCGCACACCACCGTACTCCGGACCACACCGAAATGGAACGTATGCTTGCCAAATTTGATAAAGCCTGTGGAAAGATTGGTCTTCGAATAAATCTCACAAAAACGATGTTCATGACAAACGGATTAGTTTCGTATGCCTTATCCACGCTCAACGGGACGAATATCTCCGAATGCTCCAGTTATGTCTATCTAGGTCGGGAAATCAATATGATGAACGACTTAGCTTCAGAGCTGAGCAGAAGGAAATGAGCGGCCTGGGAAGCTTTCAAGAGCATTGAGGATCTAATGAAGAGAACAAAGAACACCCGACTCCGTGCCCACCTTTTCCACTCAACGGTACTTCATGTCCTAACGTATGCATCAGAAACCTGGTCGCTGCGTAAACAGGATGAAAGATCACTCAGCATTATAGAAGGCGCAGTCGAAAGGACGATGTTAGGAGTACTCGTTTCACATAAGTAAGGGAAGGGATCCGAAGCTTCGAACTGCGTCAACGATCAAGACTGAAAGATGTCGTTCTGTACATCAAACAGTCGAAGATAAGAAGGGGCGGACACGTAATGCGTATGAACGACAACCGATGGGCAAGAGTCGTTAGTGACTGGA